TCCTGATCCAATTCCTATTTAGGTCAATAGGAATTTTTCTCTTGACTTCAGTGCAAGTTGGATCAGGCCTTTGCCAGCTATCTCATGGCAGTTTTCTTATGTAGACATCAGTGTGTTGAAAGATAGTCCTGTGAACATAATCCTGTGAAATGCTGAGTCTCTTGCATCCAGTTGACTTCAGTGAGAAGTGAGAATATTCAGTATTTCTAAGGATTGGACCTGTGAGGTGCTGATTGAATTTTACAAGGTAAAGGGAGACCATTATGCATCTCCTTTTCCTTTAGTTCAGATATTTTTTATCATTCACCTACTCTAGACCAAATCCTAAGGTCTCTCCTTTGGAAAACCCTCACTGAAGTTAATAGGAATTTTCTTAGTCAAGAAAATAGATTTGGCTAGATGTACAAAGAGCAAGGACACCCCAGACATAACCTGTGATGTTTTCCTCCTTTTAATTTTCTCCACCCCCTGTCTTTTCCTCACCCTATCCATACTGTCTGTTTAGTTACCTCTGTCCTAGTCATGGGAGGCCCAAAGATGCATAGCCTGGAATAAATGAAGACGATGAAGCGGGAGGTGAAACAGAACCTCGCACTGAGCTTGTTCATAAATCTCAAGCTTAAATCCCCATTAGGCCAGGCTTTAGGAGAACACAACAGATTTACTCCAACTAAGCATCACAGTATATGCAACCACATTGCACACATACCCATACACACTAATGAGCTGCTCTGTTTGCTGTTTACAGACTGGTACTTAATGGCTGCTTTTTTTCTCTTCTTTTCTCCCCCCCCTCCTTCCCCAACTCGTTCTGTTTCCCCTTCCGTATGGGATGGCTCTCATAGTGCGGGATGATTTCTTTGGTAAGGCAAAGGCCTCTTTTAAACATACTTCTTTTAAACTCCTCCTGTCCACCTGACATCTCTCCATGTATCTTGAGTTTCCTTGGTTTTAGTTTTTGTGGTGGTGGTGTCCCCTCTTTGAGAAGCAGGAGAAAGTTGTTCCATTTCTGTGGTTTGGGGGATTCTCTTCTGTATCTGGGTATAGGTAGATTATCCACTTTGATGCTTCAAACTCTCTGTCTGGGATTAGCATGTAAAACATGGCTCTTCCCAGACTTTTCCTTCCTTTTGGTTGCATACTGAGAATAGATTTTAAAATTTTTCCCTTTATTTGCAACTTTCTTTATGTAGACAGGACTGTCCCACTATGAACATCTCAGTGTTCCCCTACATGGTGCACTTGGTTGAGGTGTCTCTCAGAAATGGCAACTCAATTGCTGTGGGAACTTTCTTTTCATTTCTCTGTTCCCGTAAACAGCCATTTGTATCATTCCTGGGTTAAAGCAACCCTTAGTTTCCATTGTGCCAGACTGACATAAAATGATAGCCACTGAAGCCAATGAAGCTCCCTGGCATTGTGGAGCTTCTTATCTGGCAATGACAGGTCTGCCCTCCACAATACAGTTCATTTCTGTATAGATGTTATGTGTCATGGTACCAGTACAAAGAAACCAAAATGGAGGATGAATTAGTCCAAAGGAGAGCTTAGAGATGAGCAGTTTGCCCACTGGGTGCCTGTAGACATGTGGGACATCTGCTCAGACACACTGTAATTGCAGCTTGTTGGAGCAGACTTGATTAATCAAATCTGCTGGAGCATGCTAATTAGCACACTCCAGCAGCCTCGGCATTTTGTATATTCAGTGTCCCCATACTTCAAAATGGTGGCAGGGGTGCTTTAACTAAACCTCATCATACAAGCCATTTTGAAGCAGAGGACACTGAATATATGTGACGCTACAGGCACTTTAATTAGAGTGGCTCCCAAGAGCTGCTCTAATTAAGATGCCCCCCCACCCCTCCCGGAGCACGTGTAGATGCCCATTATGTCCTCTGTTTCTGGAACATTGTTAGATGCATATTTAACGTGATTTATTGCTAAAAACATGTAGAATGAAGATGTAATTTATGAGCAGTCTTATGCTTCATGAGCTCTGAGCTCCGTACATACCTTATGTGTAGTTCCCACTAGCATATACCACATGTATAGTCATCTCTAAGAAAAAAGAAAGTTTTTTTCTCTCTTTGTGTTCCCTCCCTCTTCCCACCACTAAAAAAAATATTTTTAATTGGTTTTCATCCAGCTGAGTGTTTCTATCTGCTACTTCTTAGGTATTTGCAGTAATCTCTGACACAGCACCCAGATAACACATTGCCTGAAACATCAAAGTGACTAATTTCCTGTCTATTGATTTTTAAATATATATATTTAAATGCTGCTTCTTGTCCATTCTTGCTGGGAATTTGCTTTTGCCATCATAAACCCATCCCATCTAACAGTGGGAAGAGGATTTGTGTGTGGGAGTGTCGTAATCTGTTCTCACTTTGTGTGTCCTATCATGTTTTGCTAAATGCCATTGATTTCAAGTGTGTGTCATTCATTCTTTTACTATAAAAGTGAATTAAATGAAAAGTTGGGTTTGTCTCATGAAAAATGTCAAATATTACAGTTGGGTTTGTTCATTAACCTACTCACATGAATGTAAAAAGACCTGACTGATATGCTATTAAGTTTGGACCTTCAGTGTTCTGACTATAATTTAAATTTAGAGACTTTCTTACTCTTGGTTTCAAGTCTGTACTTTGGACATATCTATTAAGAAAAACAAAAATCTTACGATATCCAGTGATGGGTCATAGTTTGGAAAGCACTCTGCCTTGCTATAATTTTTGTGAAAACTAAGAATCCCTGAGCTTCTAGTTTCCACTGTAGAAACTACTGTAAAGAACAGTTGCTGTGTCTGAGGGTTAGAGTAGAAGTCTTAGACCCAGCTTCCCCTAAGCAACTTTAGAAGAGCTATTTCTTTTGCCCATCCCACTCAAGGAGGCTTGTGTACATTTGGTTAAGTGGTAAGGTCTGCAATAGTGTCCTTTATAGAAAAGACACTTGGACATCTCTGCTGCTGTTAGTTCAGCATGAGGTATTCTGCTGTTTGCAGCAGGATGCATAGGTGTAGAACTATCTAATAAAATGTATTTCTCCTGCTAAGCATGAGTCAGTCAGCACATCAGGAGGGGTAATTTTTCTGAAGGTGCAAATCAAAAATGCCTGGCCTCTTTTTTCAGGAATGGGCAAAGAAGTGGGGAATCTGCTGTTGGAAAACTCACAGCTTCTGGAGACCAAGTAAGAAACTTTCATATTCTGAACTGCTTATCTGTTTTTTAAACATCCTCTTATTTTGGAATAATTCTGAGCCAGAAGTTCTGCTTTGTTGGGGCTTGCTAATATCTGGATTGACAAATTATTTATGATGGTGTTAGCCTGTGAAAGAGGTGTTATGCGTCTGAGAGACATTCCTGCCTCTGTTTGTTTTATGCAGATGCTGGATTGAACTCAGCACATCTGCTTATAGGGTCTAACCCTGCTTGAAGTCCATGGCAGGCTTTGCATTAACTTCAGTGTGAGCTGCAGCTGTCCCACAAGTGGTATAAGGGATCTTCAAGATATCATTTGTGACTGCTTAGTTGCAAGATTTACCTTTTGCAATGGGAAAGTGTGTCTCACTAATCTCTTAGAATGTTTTGAATGTGAGGATAGAATAGTGAATAAAAGCAAATCTGTTGATCTAATTGATTTGAACTTTAAAAAGTCTGTGACAAGGTCCTGTAAAAAGGCCATTAAAGAAGCCAAAGAGTAATAGGATGGATGAAAAAATACTGTCATGGATCAAAAACTGTTGAACCCATTGTCCCAGGAAGTTGCTTAAGCTAAGAATGTTGGATATCAAAAATATTTGAGCTATCAGAATTTACTGATTAAAAAAAATTGTGGCATGGTATTGGACTTCATTCTTCAGGTGTTAAACCAATATCTGTTAGAGATTACAATTAGACTTATTGGGTGTCTATACATGTGCTGGGGGGGGAGGGGGGCACATTAATTGAAGCGGCTTTCAGAGGCTCTGAGAGCCGCTCTGATTAAAGTGCCTGCAGCATCGTGTGTATTATTCAGTGTCTTGCACTTCAAAATGGCAGCAGAGATGCTTTAACTAAAGCTTGTTTGACAAGCTTTCGTTAAAGCACCCCCACTGCCATTTTGAAATGCAGGGACGTTGAATACATGACACGGAGGCTGCTGGAGCACACTAGTTAGCATGCTCCAGCAGACTTGCAGCAGACTATTAATTGAGTTTGCTCTGACGCATGCTAATTAGCACACATCGGAGCAGAGCTCCATCATGTGTATAGGTGCCCACTGTGTCTGTGGTTTTCATATACCTTCCTTTGAAGCATGTGGACCTGACCTGTCAGAGACAAGATAATGGGAAGCCCTCAGGTCTGATATGCTATGGCAGCTCCTTTATAACTCCATCACTCCCCCCAACCCTCCCCCACAAAAAAACCCCAAAAACTCCAAAACCAAAACAACTCTCCCCTTCTCCTCCTCACTGTCACTATATTTAATTATTTTCCTGAAGCTCTTACTTAGCAGCTCCTTGCCTCTGGGTGACTTTTGTCTCAGCTTCCTATTTCAGATAGTTGCTGTGTACGTTCATCTCAGTTTACTGTTCCTTTCACTTTTTAAGAAATGCTTTGAATGTTGTGAAGAATGATTTGATTGCCAAGGTGGACCAGCTGTCTGGAGAGCAGGAAGTGCTGAAGGGGGAGCTTGAAGCAACAAAGCAAGCCAAAGCAAAGATGGAGAACAGAGTCAAGGAACTAGAGGAGGAACTTAAGAGGTGAGAGCCATGCTCACTGCCCCAAACAGCTTCCCAACTTTAGACTGATTCAAAGAAACACCATAGAAAACTCAGTTTATCTGTCAGTTTAATTATTTTCCCTCATGGGGTTTAGTATTGCAATTCAAAGACACTTGGTAGACAGTTTGAAAGGAAAAATTCAGGTAGCTTAGATATAAGTAAGTACATACCTGCAAGCATTGAGTTTAAATGTTTCCTTGAGTTTTTAAAAATAAGAAAATATTTTGTCAGGATTTTAACATTCCCCATCAGTGATTGTAACCAAGCCTCCTTGAACTCCATGCAAGTGCATGAGAGCCAGGGTATGGAAATGGCTTGTTACATGCCCATACACTGGACCACCACTTCCTTAAACCTATGGTCTTTTTCTCCAGAATTTCAGTTTTCACTTTCTTGAAAGAAAGTGAGTCTGTAGAGGTTACAGGTCAGCTTTCTGAAGTTCTCACAACTGTGTGCAACCAGTGTGCATAGTTCTGGTTCCCACATCTCAAAAGCGATGTAGTAGAATTAGAAAAAGGTACAGAGAAGGGCAACCAAGATGATCAGGGTAATGAAACATCTGCCATACCAGGAGAGAGTGAAAAGGCTAGAACTCTTCAGTTTGGAAAAGAGAAGGTTGCCGGGGTATATAATAGAGGTTTATAAAATTATAAAGGGGATGGACAGAGTGAATAGGGAACTGTTATTTACCCGGTCACAGAATGCTAGAACTTGGGACACCCACTGAAATTAGCAGGAGACAGGTTTACAACTAACAAGCGAAAGTACTTTTTTATGTAGTGCACAGTTAACTTACAGAACTCACCACCACAGGAGGTGGTGGAGGCAGAGTATAGCCAGGTTCAGAAAGGGGCCAGACAAATTCAGGGCTGATAGAGCTATTACTGGTTACTAAATAGAATGGCCAGGGATGTATCCTCTGGCACCTCCTAAACCAATAATGGTGGATGCTAGGGTGGGTATGACAGGAGATAGATCACTCTAGATGTACACTGTTCATATGCTGTCCCTCTTAAGCATCCACTGCTGCCATTGTCAGAGGAGACGAGGTCCTCTCAGTTGTCAGAGGGAGACCACTCACTGTGCAACAACTGAATACTGGGGACAACATATGAAAAAACAGGAATGGGAGCACAGGTCTAAGATTAATAACTAGGGTTTTACGTGGAGAACACCAGCTAGCACCCACTGCTCTTCAAACATATCTAAGGAGCCTGTGGATATTGCCTAGTAAAACTCTTCCCAGAATTGTGCGTGGGAGAGTGAGGAAAATGGCACTACAGTCACTCAGGTTATTCCTGGCCAGTGCCTCCTTCCTGGTTTAGTAGATGGAGAGTATGGTCAAAGCCAGAAGGAGGTTGACCAGAAGGTCCCAGGACTTAGAAGGGCTTCATATGGGGTGTGCATAAAATAAAAGATGTGGAGAAAAGTACAGCTAGAACCTCAATAGGAGCCTCCTGAGGAGGTGTTATAGGGGCTTCAGCCTGGTGCACTTGAGGTAGACATGTCAGGAATGCTTAGGATCATGAAACCAATCCAGAGGTTGGACTGGCTGATCATGTATTGGTGTTTAATTGTGAAGTGCTGCTGTTTCTTTAATAAGCAGTCAAATAGAGGGCTTGGGGTTGGGTTTTTTTTTGGTAATAGGTGCATTTTTTTTTACTCTAGATTGTCTCTCTGTAAAATAGAAACTGACTGGCCCAGTGCTGGGGGGCAGGAATGGTTGATATCTTTGCAATTCTGGGCCGAAAGTAGCATCTGAGCCCTTCCAGATATCAGAGATTGAAGAGAAGTGGGGATCTCACTGGTGCAATTGGAGAGAAAAATGTGCTCTCCATAACCTGAAACTATAGTAGGCCTATTTCTTTACTACCATATCAGTGTTGTTGATGTGGGATAATAGTGTTAGCATCCTCCCTTAGACATATGTGTGCTATGAATTTTAAGAGGCTACTTTTTCTTAAGCTAACCCAGGGTGGTATCTCAGGTTATGTGTCTTATTTAATGGTTTCATAATGGTGGGTAGGTAAATCCCGAGACTGTAATGTGACGTCCCAGGGCATATTGCAGATCTTGTTGTTTTCCTTGGGTATGAATTGGTTACCAAATACAGAATTTAGATTTGTTACTATTTAGTATTGTTAGTGTTGTATGTATGTATGTCTGTTCATGCACACACTTCCTCACACACCTACACTGTTTGTTAGTATTTGGTATATATTGTTATAATGCAGGGGTGTTACATTTGTTTCTCCTCTGGGGCTGGATTTAGGCTGTGGGCCTTCACGTAGTCTGGATCCAGAAGTAGCAGCAGCAGCCATTGGGGTAACACAGCTATTGCCTGTCCTCTGTTGCTGACATATGTCCCTGTTGGGACAATACATTTTTTTCCATATCTTGCTATGGCCTGTTAGATGATTAAAACTGAAGCATTTTATATAAAGAACTCTAATGCAGTTTGCTTTATGCTGGGTTTTTGCTTTTCTTTTGTCACTTAAGAGGTACAATGAAAGTTGATTGGTTTCAAAGTTATTTTGGTCAGTTTTCCTTTCTGCCACTTATGCCCGATACTTCAGCGTTGAGGCCAATACTTCAGTATAACTTTTGCAAAGCTAGCAGAGCAGCATTTTAAAGTATGATTTAGCCTTGAACTATAAAATGAAAATGTATGTTATTTTATCAAGCTTTTTTGAACTAGCTCCTAAATTCTGAGTCTAAACTACTAGACATCATCCCTTTGACATGTGTGCTTTGTGTGACATGTTCACAAAGTGCAATGAAGGAATGTCCCAGTTGTACAAAGCCAAGTAAGTACCTCTGTCCACCGTTCATTTTCAGTGGATTTCAGCGATACTTCAGCAATATTTTCAGAGTAAGGTATTAATCAGCTTGAGTAGGAACTTCAGAAGGCCCATGGGGGCTTGGACATATTGCTCATAGTTTCAAAGTGGTGAAA